AACTTTCAACCAATCATATTGTTACCCGTCTCTCAGCTCTGCGATCAATCATCTTGCTTGCAACCCTATGCTATCACCTACCCTGTTCTGTTTGTTCTATGTTGCCCAAAACCTAGAAAAAGGGGAGCTGGCTTTTTGCTCAGGGTCTGTGGCCAGAGGAAGAGTCATTGACTTTTTTATTGGGCAGGTAGCATGTCCCCATTAAAAAAAAATGCCATCTTGCTCAAAGAGTGGCTTCAGTTTATTATTCGTTAAATTTCACTTTTGCTACTTTAATACCATTCACGTATTGCCCCTACTCTCATCTGTCTGTGGACCACCCTGCAACAGGGTTTCATCTCACACCCAGATTATCAGAGTAGTCTTCTGATTGACCACTCTACTCCAACTCATTCCCCACTCATCCTTCCTTTACTCATCTGTCAGTGTGACCATTCTGAATTGCAGGTCTGATCATATCTCTTTCCTAGTAAATAACCTCCAATGACTTCCTATTTTGTCATTGATAAAATATAGAATCTCTTTTGGCTTTTAAAGCCATTTCAAACCTGTCTTCTTCCTATCTCTACAGTCTTCTTACACCTTATTAATCTTCATGTACTCTGAGTCAGTGACACTGGCCACTAGTTGTTTCTTACTCCAGACAACCCATCTCCTAACCATAGTTTGGGAGGCTTTCCTTCCTCATGCATACTTCCTGGATTCCTTGACCTTTTTTCAACCACTTTCTGCAAGAAACCTTTTGCAAATCTTCCTATTGCTAACATCTTCCTTCTGAAATTATTTTGATTAATTATGAATGTATCTGGTTTTTGCATACTTTTTTGCATGGTGCCTTCCACTTAAACTACAACCTTCTCAAGGCCAAATACTTTCTCTTGTCTTTCTTTGTATCCTCACAAATTAGCACAGTGTCTAAGACACAATAGGTGCTAAATAACAGCTTCTTGATTTAACTGTAAAATAAGATTATTTGTTATCACTACTATAATTTTCTATAGGTCTAGAAGTACTAATACTATTATTATAAGAAAAAAATCAAGGCAATCAAGATACACAAAGAAGCATCAAAAGTACTGCTTTCTTACAGATGATATGATTATTTAGCTGGTAAACCACGGAGAGGTGACTTTTGAAAAATCACTAGAAATAATAACTTGAAAAAGTTGCAGGATACAAAATGAATCCAAGAAATCCCAAGTCTTTCTTTATTTTACTTACAATAGTAATTAGAAAGAGGTAGAATAAAGAAATTTTATTCTAAGTGACTAGAGAATATGTAAATTATTTGAGTCCCTTTACTAAGGCACTCAAAGGAACTATGAAAATTCAAGTCTAATTAAAGGGAGGCTTTAATCATTGGGATAGTGCCCTGTGATTTCATTGGTAAAGTATAAAGAATGCCCAGGTCATGTCAGATAGAAGGAGAAGCAAAGAATTTGTGATAAAACAAAAGATATAGAACATTATGAAATGCAAAATGGATAATTTTGATTACATGAAATTAAAAAGTTTTTTGCACAAACAAAACCAGTGTAATCAAGGTTAAAAGGAAAGCAGAAAGCTGAGAAACAATTTTAACTGCCAGTGGTTCCAATAAAGGCCTCATTTATAAAATATATATAGAAATGAGTCAAATTATTAAAAATAAAAATAATTAATAAAAATAAAATAAAAATAAAAATAAAAATCGTTCTCCGATTAATAAATGGTCAAAAGATGTGAATAAGCAGTTTTCAGATAAAAAAATAAAGCTATCTATAGTCATATAAAAAATACTCTAAATCACTATTGGTTAGAGAAATACAATTTAAAACAATTCTGAGGTGAACCACTTCACACCTAGCAGATTGCCTAGTATGAAAATAAAGGAAAATGATAAATATGGGGGGAAATGTGGGAAAATTGAGACACTAATGCATTACTGATGGAGTTATAAACTGATCCAATCATTCTGGTGAACAATTTGGAAATATGACCAAAGTGCTTTAAAACTACGCATACTCTTTGCTTCATCAATACCACTACTAGGTCTGTTTCCCAAAGAAATCATAAAAAAGGGATAAGGACCCACATGTACAAAAATATTTATAGCAGTCCTTTTGTTATGGCAAAATATTGGAAATTGAGGGGATGTCTATCATTTGGGGATTGGCTGAACACGTTGTGGTATATGACTATAATGGAATATGATCATGTTATAAGAAAAGATGAGCAGGCTGATTTCAGAAAAACCTGGAAATACTTATATGAACTGATACTGAGTGAAGTGAGCAGAACCAGGGGAATATTGTACAGAGTGTAATTTTTAAAATTTATTTTTTGAAGGCAAACAGGCTTGTGAAATTTTTTAAAAAATTATTTTTGGAGGCAAACAAGATTAATTGACTTGCCCAGGGTTGCACAACTAGTAAGTGTCTGAGGCTGGATTTAAACTCAGGTCCTTCTTACTCCAAGGCCAGTGCTCTATCCACTGTACCACCTTAGCTGCCCCATTTTGTGTGTGTGTGCGTGTGTGTGTGTGTGTGTGTGTGTGTGTGTGTGTGTGTGAGTGTGTGTGTATCCTGATCAACTATGATAGACTTGGTTATTCTCAGCAATACAATGATTCAAGACAATTCTAAAAGACTGGTGATGGAAAATGCTAACCACATCCAGAGAAAGAACTATGAAGTCTGAATGTAGATCGAAGCATACAATTTTTACTGTTTTTTTTCTTTTTCATGTTTATTTTTTCCTTTTGTTCTGATTCTTCTTTCACAACATGACTAATGCCGAAATATATTTAATGTGATTGTATATCAGATTGCTAGAGAGGGGGAGGAGAAGAAGGGAGAAAAATTTGGAAGTCAAACTCTTATAAAAATGAATGTTAAAAACTATCCTTACATGCAATTTGAAAAAAATAAAATACTATTCAATGTTAAAGATAAAAGAAATGAATTCTCAGGTGGGGAAATTCCATCTACCAATGCAACTGATAATCTCCTATGGAATTTAGATTCTTATAAATGTTGCCTGGAGCACTGAAAGGTTAAATGAATTGCCTGAGGTGACAGAGCCAATATGTAGTAGGATGGGATTTGCTGGCATCATTTTTGTTTCCTTTTAATTACTATACGATGCCTATAAATTGCTAACAACTGAGCCTTGGTAATAGAATAAAAAATTCAATAATGAAATGAATTAATTTATATTGATTTATCATTTCAATATCAACAAAATGACCAACTATTTCTTCATAGAATTAGACAAATTATAACAAAATCCTTCAAGTGTTACAAAAAATGGTGAAGAATCTCAAGTGACATAATAGAAAAAAAATGTGGTCAACATGGCAGAGTAGTAGGAACAAACATAGTTCATATCACTTCCCCTCTAACATCCTTCAAAGAAAAAAAAGGATTAATGGTGGATTCAAGATGGTGGAGAAAAGGCAGGGTCTAGCTTGAGGTTTCCCCAAAACTCCTCAAAAGAAACCTTAAATAATGCCTCAAAATGAATTCTGGAGCAGCATGGCACACAAAAGAATGGGATGAAACAATTTTCTAGCCCAAGAAACTTAGAAGGTTGATAGGAAAAGTGTGTCACAACTGATCCAACCACTTCAGAGGCCAATTTGGAACCATGCCCAAAGGGCTATAAAAATGTCATACCTTTTGACCCAGCAATACCACTTCTAGGGCTGTATCCCAAAGAGATCATAAAAATGGGATAAGAATCCAAATGTACAAAACTATTTATAGCAGCTTGTGTTTGGTGGCAAAGAATTGGAAATTGAGGGGATACCCATCAATTAAGGAATGGCTGAACACGTTGTGGTATATGAATGTAATGGGATACTATGAGAAATGATGAGCAGGCAGACTTCAGAAAAACCTGGAAAGACTTGTATGGACTGATGCTGAATGAAGTCAGCAGAATCAGAAGAATATTGTACACAGTAACATCCACATTGTGTAATGACTAACTTTGGTAGTGTCTTCAGGGGACTGCTGATGAAGCATTGAATCCAATTCTTCACTGAGAAGCAATGGACACAAGTGCAGATTCACACATTTATATATGCATATGTATATTTGTAAACTATCGTCTGGATTCATTTTTCTTCACTTCACTGATTCGGTACAAGTTTCCTTTTTTATTTGGGGTTGGCTGGGTTATAGGTAGGGGTGACGATAATAGCAATGTTTTAAAAGAGGGGATATTCATACGTTTTAAAAAATGCACAGGAGAGAAAAGGAGAATGTACAGAAGGAGGAATATGCAGCAGGGCAGTTTTGAAAGTAACAGGTGGAAAATTATACACACACACACACACACACACACATATATGTATATATATATACATTTAAAGGAAGAAAAGGTAACAAATGGAAATACACATGCTCATACACCACCTTCTTTTTGTGCTCTTTTGGGCATATGAAAATGCTCTTATTTTGATGTCTGATTATATACGTAAGGTCAAAATAATTAGAAAAATATAAAGAATCTTTCCCTGTTCCTCTAGTACAAGACAAGCAAGCAAATTCAACTGCGCCCAATAACTTCCACCCCCGATCAACAGGACCAGATTTTCCCAAGAGCAGGGGCAGACTTGGGACTCTCTTCCTCACGTGTGGCCCATCATTCCTTGTCCCCTCCCTAAATTCTTCATGTAGCCTACGTTCCAAGAGGTTCCTACTTTGGGGTGAGCCATGAGCAAGCCTAGACCATCTCTCCTCTCGTCTCTTGACATTTTCCCTCCTGGTGATCTCCTCAGCTCCCATGGGCTGACTGCCTTCTCTAGGTAGCCAGTGAGTACTAAGCCTCTTGGCCATCTCAAGTGAATATCTCCTGGCGCTCCCAAATGCAAAATGAACAGTCACACCACGTATCAATCATGCATTTATTACATGTCAAGTCCTTACCAGTTACTAGGTAGTCCCTGAGATACATAGACACAAAATTCAACAGTCACTGCTCTCGTTATTGAAAATTATCTAGGGAAAAACAACAGATATACATATAATTGGGGAACAAAAATAGCTGATGTGGATTGGTTTGGGAGTCCTAATGTAAATTTTCACCACATATAAGAAGATAAAAGTTGTATTAATTGTCCTCTCAAGTACTGAAGTGTGTAATAATGGTTGGTTGGGGGTGTGGTGGGACTGGACCCCATGAATACCAACAAGATATTCAAAGGGCACCTGTACCAAGAGAGTGTGAGAGGACATAAAGTGTAAGAAGAGTTAAAAGGTCATGGGGGAGGTTAGGAAGGGCTTGGGATGACACAGGATTTCATATTTAATCCTAGAGTTTATAAGGAACAAATGCAGTTTATTGACTAGGGGGCTGGCATAATCAGACCTGCACTTTAGAAACATCAGTTTGATGGCTGAGTGGATGATGGACTGGAGTGAGAGACACTGGTGGCAGGCAGACGCACCAGCAGGTGATTGCAATAGACCAGGTGTGAAGTGGACCCCAGGGTAGCAGCTGTGTGATTGGAGAGAAAGGGACACATACAAGAGATGTTATGGAGGTGGAAAAGACAGGCTTGGCATCAGACTGGATACATGAGAGGAATCTGAGTGATGAGGGGAGGATGGCAGTGAGGAAGTGAGCCCAGTGGTTTACTCCATTTCCAATCTTCTTACACTTCATTTTCCTCTACTTTATAAAACAGCTACAAAGGAGGTTTTTTTTGTCCTTGTACACCATAGTCTCCTAACTTCATGCCTCTGTGGTGGCTGTCCCCTTTGCCTGGAATGTTATCTTCCCTCTTAGTTGCCTGGATTTCTTTAAAACTCAGCTCCAATCCGGTCTAGTTCAGAAGGCCTTTCCTGATCTGAGCAAATGGTAATAACTTCCTCTCTGAGATGAGTGTCCTCCTTCTATTCTGTATGTGTCTTGTAATGTCTCTCATTATCATAGATGGATGCACTTGCTTTGCACAAATCTAAAAATGGATAACCCCAATAAACATGGTTCCTCAATGATAGAAACCTGGGGAAGATGTACTCAAAAAACAAATGAAATAGTGGTGAGGGACAGGAGAGGAGATGGGAGAAGAGAAGATGGGAGGGGAGAAGATGAGAGAGAATTTCTTCTGTGAAAGGTGCCCAAACCCTCAGTGCCTGGGCACAGTGGAATAAATGATGGACTGTTTCTGTGTCTTCGTGTGGGCAGTTTTCCTCTTATTAAAGGTTCTAATGTTCAGCTGAGCATAGGTCATTTCCTGGGGGTCTTCCACCATGGGGACCTGAAGGAGAAATACAAGGTAAAGGGAACAGTGAATGACTTTGGAGCAGGAGTTCTTAATTGATTGGTGCATCATGAATGCTTTGGTAGCCTGTCTGATGAAAGCTATGAATACCTTCTTAGTCTCATTACTTTAATTACATGAAATGAGCTCCTTATAATTTCAAGTAAATAAATGATACTGACATAGTGATTAGAATATTTACCAAATTGCCCCAATAAATTAAGGGATCCCCATGTCAGAGGCCTCACACTGGATGACTAGAAGAAAAAAATTTGCAAGTGATTAAGAAGTGGTGCAACAGTGGGCCTAGAGCCAGTTGGGAAAGGTAGGGGTGAAGGATGAAATTGAGTCCTCCAGCTGGAGGACAGGGTGGGCTCACTCACTGATGGTTCCCTTGGTCTCTCCTTGGCCACTTCTGTATCTGAGGTAGAGGAAAGGTTCCATCATTCCCACCTTTCCCAGGACTCCAATCCACAATATCAACCCCCTGACCCAGTATCATACCTTATTCCTTCCCAGATAACCTATGCAGGGTGTCCTCTCTGGAGGCCTCAGGCTGATGGGGCAGGCAGGTACTCCAAGAAAGACAAGGGCAACAAAGACACCTGCAACAAGGAGAGAGGGAGAAAACAGGACAGGAGGATAGAGTCCACCCTGGGAGGCTCTATGAGCATCCTTTTCTCACCGTAGACTATGTCCAGTGCAGAGGGTCCAGGGTTATGTGGCATGGAAGAAATAGGGGACTATGGGAAGAGGAGTTAAGTCTCCTTACCTCCTAGGGCTTTCTCCTTGTGAAGACCCTGGGAGAGAGAGACATGGAAAGGAAGAAGCCAGGTCAGGGAAGGTCTCAAAGGATCAAATAGAGGTCTCAGTCCTTACCCGTCTCTATTGCTTAAGACACTAAGGTGTACAGCTCTTTCTCACCCATATTAATGTATCCTTGGCAAAGCATTGCCAGCAAAAGGCAGAGGAGGAGGAGGAGGAAGGAAACATAGCTGAGGATGATAACAAGGGTGTTACTGGGCTCTGAATCTGTAGTGGGGAGAAAAAAGAATCTTCATTAATCACTATCCTTAGGGGATCCTCACCTTGCCCCTGGAATTGTCCCTCTATTTTCTCATCATATCTCCCTCCAGAGATGCCCATCACCACCAGCATCCAACAGTTTGGTACACATGCTGCTCACAGTGGGCTTACCCCTTGGAACTAGGTTCAGAAACCCCCAGGATAGATATATATGGGTCACCCGGAAGCATGGGGGGGCCTCCTATCCAGCCCACACCCTTGTTCTCTGTGGGATTGGAATTGAGGAAAATGTCAAGGTTCCTCTTGTCTCTTATTGCGTGTCTCTTGGCCAGAGCCAAGGCCTTTATTTCATTTCCTTGTAGAAGCTAGAGAAGGGAATGACCATTGGCACCCTCCAGTGGGTCCTGTGAGCTTCTTTCTCTTACCTGTCACTATGAGCTGCAGGGGCTCACTGTGTTCTATCCAGAGACTTCCATCAGTGGGAAGTTGGTAGCTGCAGCTGTAATTGCCAGAGTGCTTGGGGGTCACGTGAGTCAGGAAAAACTTGGCCCCATCTTGAGTGGTATCAGTGCTTGGCAGCATTTTCTCATCTCCATCCTTGTCCAGAACAAAGGTACCACTCCACGAGGGCCCCCAGCACAGGAGGGTCACATTGGCTCCTGAGGCCACCTCTGGTCCAGGCCAGACTGAGAGGGAAGGCTTGGGAAGAGAATCTGGAAACCCAAGGAGAGGCCAGAGTTACTCAAGGGACCCACACAGTTATAATGGGGGTGGGGTTGAGGGAGTAAATAAGAGCTGGGAAGTCCCTGAAAAACTCCCTGAATGTCAGATCTCACTTCCTTTGGCTCTGTGGTCATGCCTTGCCCAAAGCCTCCTTTCCTGGAGAGGCATGGATGCTAAACTTGAGATGTTTTCTGGGCCCACCTAGAAAGGAAGGGTTTCTTCCTTCCATTTTCTCCCTTGAGCTTGGAGCAGTACCTGAGCTGGTCCATCCTTCCACCTTTGCTCTGCCCTTCCTTAGGGACCCTCAGCCCTTGTCTCAACCTCTTATTCCTTCTCTAGATTTCTGGCCTGCATCTCAGGCTTGAGTCCCAAACCTCTACGTTATGCCTTGTGTATCCGGATACACTCTCACCTGTCACCCAGATCTCTAGGACATCGCTGGGCTGAGAAACCTGGTATGGAACCATCCTCCTATAATAGACACAGCTGTAGTTGCCAGAATCCTGGGCCCTCACAGAGAGGAGGGGAAAGGCAGCTGAGGCCCCAACTGGGCTCTGGCTCTTCAAGGACTGAAGGGTCCCCACCTTCAGCAGAATGAATGTCACATCACTGAGGAATGTCTGATGAGGCTGTTGGCACTGGAGAATCACATGTGTCCCGTGCTCCACCACGAGGCCTGGGAGGGCTGAGAGGGAAGGCTTGGGCAGAGATCCTGTAAGAGGGAGAACATGGGGCTGGAGTTAAGACAGCTGGGTCAAGTCCCTGCTCTGCCTCTGAGTCCCTGTGTGACCTTGGCCCAGTCACTGGGCCCATCTGAGTCTCAGTTTTGTTGTTCAGTTGCTCTTTTCAGTCATGCCTAACTCTTCATGACCCCATTTCTGGTTTTCTTGGCAAAGGTACTGGAGTGGTTTGCCATGTCCTTTCTCACCTCATTTTACAGATGAAGATACTGAGGCAAGCAGGGTTAAGTGACCTGCTCAAGGTCACAAAGCTAATAAGTTCTGAGACCAGATTTGAACTCGGGAGATGAGTCTCCCTAATACTCCCAAGCCCAACATTCTTTCCACTGAGCCACCTAGCTGCCCATGAGACTCAGTTATGTCATCTGTAAATGAGGGGTTTGATCAGAAGATTGTTCATACATTTCTACCCATAGCTAGCTAGGAATCTAAGGAGGTTTTCACTCCTGAGGAAGCTCACCCACCCCATGGTCTCATGCAGCTGTTGACTTATGGGAGGGAATGTCATGATCCCTCACTTTTCATCTGGGCTATCACAGATGGTCCCAGAGCTAAGCCTAAAACCTGGGCTCAGATCATTGTCCAGGAAGGAGAAGGCTCAGGCTAATTTCCAGGCTCAGCCAGTCACATGTGTGACCTTGGAGAAGTCCTTTCTCTCTGGGTCTCACTTTGCTTATTGGTAATGGAAGGGTTTGGCCTCGAGAATCTCTAAGGCCTCTTTCAGCTCTGGGTCTCTGTGACTCTTCTCCTAATCCCCAACTCAGTCCCCACCATCACTTTTCTTCCCAATAGTCTAGATCAGAATAGAAATGCCTCATGTCTTCCAAGACCCCAGAGCCCTGACAGGCCTCTGGGCAGAGCTGGTTGTATAGACACCATGCCTTGTCTTTGAGAGGCTCCTGTCTGGATGGAGAGCTGAGGAATCAGAACCAGATTTATTCTGGGGCTCACACACACCCCTCACCTGGCATCACCAGCTCCAGGGCCACACTGGGCTCTGATCTTCTAGCAGATGCTGTACTTTCCCTGTAAAAACAGCTGTAGCTCCCAGTGTCCTCAGGTTTCACAGATGGGAAGAAGTCAGTCCAGAGATCTGATGAGGTCTGCTGCTGTAAGGGAGTCTGGGTCCCAGCCTTCCACAGAGTGAAAGTCACCTCTTTAAGAAAAGACGGCTTGGGCCTTGAACACCAGAGAGTGATGTTGGCCCCTGGGGCCACCATGAGGTTAGTTTGGGCCCACAAAATGGGTTTGGGGAGCCATCCTGAGAGGAAAGAGAGACACCAAATGTCAGCGTTAGATGACCCTCCAAGGCCCTGTCCCCTAACTTCTTCAGAAGAAAGGCAACAGCAATTTAAGCTCTGTTCTCACTTTCATATCTGGGGCCGCCTAGAGCTGGGAACACCCCTACTATCCCGGGGTCTGAAGCTGGTCTATGTAGACCACAAGAGGGTCCCAGGGTCTCCTCTCACCTCTCCCCAAACCAAACCTCAGAATTCTTAGGATTTTATACTGTCCCCCAAGTGAGGGATGGGTTTGCTGATTTGGGGGTTCCCATCTCCAGTCACCAGACACAGTCAGCTCCAGGGCCTGGCTAGGATGGGACCCTATGTGCGGGGCTGTGTCCTTGTAGTAAATGCAGCTGTAGCTCCCAGTGTCCTGGGGCCTCACAGACAGAAGTGAGAAAACAGCCCGGGTCCCTGCAGGGCTTTGTTGCTGCAAAGGCTCCAGGCTCTTTGCCTCCAGCAGGGCTAAGCTGTAGTCCTGAGCGGGAGCCCGTGATGATATTTGGCAGCAGATGGTCACTGTTGTCCTTGGGGGTATTGTGGAGCCATGTAAGGCTGAAATGACAGGTTTGAGGAGGGCTCCTGTGAAAGGAAAAAGGAAGAAAGTTAGGGATTTGATCTCTTCTCCTCATCCCCTGAAATCATTCCCTGCAAAAGACCTTGGAAGGGGGAGGGTGGGCTGAGGGGCCCTGGATAATTTCCTCTGCCCAGTTCTGTCAGCCTGTTCATGGCTGGGTAATTGGGTTCCTGGGTCACCTTCAGAAAGATGCTCTGGGCCCAGGAAGGCTCTGTGAGTAGAGGATGATGGGAGAAGGACATGGGCAGAAGACATCACCACCTCTACCTGCCCCTCTTCTCACCAAGGGACCCCGTTCTATTTCTACACCCTGAGCCTGCTTGACCAAGGCAGGATCCTAATGCACCATCACTGGCAAATTCTATTAGACTTTGAGGTTTGCAAAGCTCTGTCCTCCCAATAACCCCATGACCGGGTGGTTAGAGAGAAACCCAGCTCCCCAGTCCTGAGCTCTGTCCATTTCCTCTGAAGCCTGCCTGGTGCCAGGTCCCTGTCCTGCCACCCCCCTGCCCACCCCTCAGTGAAGCCAGAGCAGAGCTGGCAGAGCTGTGTGTGTCCCTGGGTGGGCAAAGGCTGGCAGAGGAGGCTCCCTCTGCAGTTCTGTGTAGCATTTATTTCTGTCCAGTTCTCCTGCCCTCATTCATCGCTCACTTATCAGGAGCCTCCTGCTCAGCGGTGGGGGAGCCCCAAATGTGTAGGGAAGCTCCCTCAGGAGCGCACTCACGGGGATCACATGGGTCTGAGCATACATGATGTCATTAGACAATCCAGCCCTTGAGCTTCACATCATAGAAGACAGAACCAAGGTCCACCAAAGGTTGAGGACTGGTCCATCATCACCCAGCTAGGACCTGGGTGGGACAGATGTTTGAATCCCCTGCCACAGAGCCCTCAGCTCAGGCTCCTTCCCCCTTCAGCAGGCTGCCTTCTAATACAGGCCAGACGGACAGCAGCCTGGGGTGGTGGGAAAGACCCCGATGCTAGATTGGGCACTCTAGAGAGGTGAAGGCACCATTCTGGGAAGGCCAAGGGCAAGGACAGTGTCACTTGATGTAATCAGGAACAGCATCTTGAAGCAGCCAAGATCTGAGCTGGGCTTTAAGGATGTGTAGGAAAGTGATGGATGAAAGGGGGAAGGGTATCCCCGGCAGAGGGAACTGCGTGAGCAAAGGCAGAATGGTGGGACGTGAGGGAGGTGATGTTGTCATCTGTCCATGCTGATAGGAATGTAGGAAGGGCAAAGGGAACAAGGGGAGACACAACTGGACAGGATGGATGTGGCCAGGTTGGGCCTTAGAGGGGGCAGGAAAAGTTTATCTAAATCAAGTTTGCTCCGATAAAGCTGTGTGCCCCTTCTCCCAAAGGCTGCTGTGTATCCTCTGAGGGAGGAGCAGCCCAGCTCTCCTGGCTGGGTCACTGGGGGACAGTGACCACATGGAAAGATCCCTGGGTTTGGGGGTGGGAGATGTGGGTTCAAATCCAGTCCCTGACGTTAAAGAACCTGTTGACCTGTTCAAGTTATCTTACCTCCTCTCCAGGCCTCAGTTTCCCCATCTATAGAAGGGGAATCATAGTGCATGTGCTCTCATGCTTACAGTGCTATTGAGGCAGAAAGTTTCAGAACCTTACTTATGCCCCCAAAATGTCAGCTGGGGAGCCAGGCATTCCCACAGCCAAGGGAGGGGTGTGGTGGTAAGAGGAGGCAGATAGTCAAGCCTGAGGGTTTATCCCGTTTATAAGTAGGACCCCTACAGAGAGGACTCTGGGGCTCATCTCTCAGGACTTACCTCTTTCCCACCAGGTATGGCTGTAGACCAGCACTCCCTCACCTGTCACCACCAGGGCCAGGGCTTCACTGAGCTCTGACCACCAGGGCCCCTGCCCAGAACGGCAGCTGTAGCTTCTTGCATCTCTCTGGTCATCCACATTCCTGAGCACAAACTCTGCCTGCTGCCAGGATGCATTTCTCTCATCTCTGAGTTCTCCATCCTTCCAGAGCTGGACTCTGTCACTCCCCAGGTGGCCCTGGCACCTGAGGGTCACATCTGCTCCCCTGGGGACCACAGGACTTGGGAAGACCCAGAGGGTGGGCCTGGGAAGGGTGTCTGAGGAGGAAACAGAGTCCATATTACTGGAGATTTCTCTAAGCCTCATGTTTCCTTCACCAGCAGATTCTGAAGGCCCTCCCTGATTCATCCCATCATTTTGACAATGTCCCCTTTCCCTCCCTGTTTATCCTTGAACTAGATGCCTGCATTATTTTGGTACAAGGAAGGAAAAGAGAACAGTGGGATCTTGGGGCCAGGACTCACCTATCTGTGCCCTCACCGCCCAGTCCAGACACAGCCCTGTAAGAGAAGCTCAGGTTATAGATGCCTCCCCTCCAGCCCACACTGACCCCATCCCCAGCTCTCAAACCCCCTGAAGCTCTAAGTCTGCTTTGGTCAGAATATGAAGAGCCCTTTGAGCAGACGCTGGGGTCTGCCTCTGCTCCAAATGGTTCTCTATCCTCCATAGCCTTCCTCCTTCTCCTTCCCGGTCAGCAGCGAAGGACCTTTTCACAATGTCCCTCCCTCCCCAGGCTTGACCCTAGAGACTCACCAATGGCAATCAGGAATGTGACTGTGGGGCCCATGGTGGGTCTTCTGCTCTGGCCTGGGCCAGCCTCAACTGTGCAGTGGGGAAAAGGTAGGCAGACTAGAGGCTGGTCCAGGATGTGGTGGCCAGCCCTGCAGCCTTACACGCCTTCAACCCAGGCCCCATAATTTCCGCTCCTATACTGATGAAAGAAAGACCATGGTCCTTCAAGGCTTAGCTCTGAGGGGATCAGCATGTCTTAAGGTTAGTTAAGGCAAGGACCAAAGGCTCTGATGGCTATCAAGTATTGAAGACCACTGAATGGGAGCTGGGCCCAAATACCAAGACTTGTTTGGAAATGGCCAGGGCCCCCATAAAAAGCCTCACCCTGAAAGGACCAAGAATGGGTGCAAGGGCATTCCCTGGCCCCAGAGTCTCGGCCTCCGACCCTTGGCTCTGCTGGTTAGTGGGCACCTGATCCACGTGTCCTGTGACCTTTGGGTCAGTCCCATTTTCTGCCCAACAACAACAGCTCTCATTTATGAGGCACTTTCAACTTGGGAAAATATTTTGCACATAATTCTCATTTGATCCTCCCAACAACACGGGGAACGGGTTCGATATTCTCACCATTTTTTCAGATGAGAAAACCGAGGGAGACAGAGGTTAAGTTGCTCAGGTTCACACAACTAATAAGCGTCTAAGGGAGGTTTTGAACTCAGGCTTTCTTGACTTCAAACCATTTAAAGTCATGAATATAGCACCAAATATTGTACCAATTTGTTGCCCCTGAGCCCCAGAATTTAAATGACTCAGTTATTGCATCTCCTGTAGGACCTCACAATGGCAGCTCCTTTCAACCCAGGAATGGCCAGCCATGGGGATGGCCACTCTGACTGAAGTTTGGTCAGGCATTGCACCTACCCTGAACAGTGACCCTTGACCAGGAAGTCTCAGAAGACTTTCAGGACAACAGCTGCCAGTTCTGGGCTGCCTTGCACATCATCGCTCAGTCCTTCCCTGGATCAGAGCCCTATGAGGCAGGCAGCCTCCCACCTAGACAAGATTCAGCTGAAACTCAATGACCTTTTAATAAGCTTCTACTATATTGTATACCATCTTCCAGGTGCTGGGAATGGAAAGATTAGAAAAGAAATAGTACAGCCCTCATGGAGCTTACACTGTCCTAGTGAGGACAAAAATATATTTTGGTACAAAACATTTATGCATAAGGATTTGTTTGGGGAAAGGCACCTTTCTGTCTTCAATGGAAGTTTGGTAATGATAGAAAAGGGCTTCCAGAAGACCCAAAGGAAAAGTGGGGAAGATTGAGCTGGGACACAAGAGGCACTGAAATTGAAACAATTGTGCATGATAGAAGAGTCAGACAGTTTTGGCTTGGGTAGCCCATGGCTCAGAATCCTGACTGGAGGCATTGAGTCATAGATAGTTATCTCTTCTCCAGTAAAAAGTAAGATTGACTTAATTTTCATTCCCTGTGGATGGAAAAGGGGGATGAGAATGCATGCATGATGGCAGGTCAGATGATCACTGGTCCTGTCTGATACACAGTCAATCATAAACAGTTATTAAGCACTGAATATTGACAAGACTCTAAGTTCACTCCTGGAAATTCAAAGATAAAAGGATTCTCAAAGAGCTTCCATTCTTTCAGGTGAGACAACATGTACACAGGAATATGTCTATGCAAAATAAATTTATACCAGGTGAATGGAAAATAAATATATGCAGGTGCATAGATATGTGTTTGGGAGGGAAGGCACTAGTGGCTGGAGAATCAGGAAAGATTGTTTTTTTTTTAACATTTTTATTTGAAATTTTGAGTTCCAAATTCTATCCTTTCCTCCCTCTGTCTCCCCTTCTCCCTGGATGGTAAACACTCAGATATAGGTTATACATATGAAATTACATAAAACATTTCCATGTTTGTCATTTTGTACAAGAAGACAAAAGAAAAAAATGAAAGAAAGTGAAAATAGGATGCTTCAGTCTGTATTCAATCAATATCTGTTCTTTTTCTGGAGGCACATAGTACACTTCATAATTAGTCCTTTGGGATTGTCTTGGATTGTTGTATTGCTGAGAATGGCCAAGTTATTCACAATCCTTCATTGAACAATATTGCTGTTACTGTGTACAATGTTCTCCTGTTCCACTCACTTTGCTATGCATCAGTTCATGTAAATCTTTCCAGGTTTTTCTGAAATCATCCTGCTTGTCATTTCTTATGGCACAATCATATTCCATTACAATCATATAACACAACTTACAATCTTATATTGCAGCTTGTTTAGCCATTCCCCAGGTGATGGACATCCCTTTGATTCCTAATTCTTAGCCACCACAAAAAGAGCTGCTGTAGATGTTTTTGTGCAAATTGTCCTTTTCACTTTTTTGGAGGCTTTTGGGATATAGGCATAACACCGGTACTGCTGGACCAAAGGGTATGGACGGTTTTACAGCCTTTTGGGTATAGTTCCAAATTGCTCTCCAGAATGCTTGGATCATGTTACAACTCTACCAACAGTACATTAGTGTCCCCATTTTCCCACATTCCCTCCAAAATCCAACATTTTCCGTTTTTGTCATATTAGCCACTCTGATGGGTGTGAGGTGGCACCTCAAAGTTGTTTTAATTTACATTTCTCTCACCAGGAATGGTTTAGAGCATTTTTTTCCATATTAAACAGTACCAGATTGTTTTGCTAATGACTACATTGTAATACAGTTTGACATCTGGTGCGGCTAAACCATCATCCTTCGCATTTTTTCCATTGATTCCCTTGATATTCTTGAGCTTTTGCTTTTTGAGATGAATTTTGTTAATATCCTCTCTAGCTCTATAAAGTAATTTTATGATCGGTTGGTTGGTGTGGCACTGAATAAATTAATTTAGGTAGATTATCATTTTCATTAATTGGTTCAGCCTATTCATAAGCAATTAATAGTTTTCCAGTTGTTTAGATCCGACTTTGTGCGAAAAGTGTTTTATACTTGTGTTCATATACTTCCTGGTTTTCTTTTGGCAGGTAGACTCCCAAGTATTTTATATTGTCTACAGTTATTTTAGATTGAAATCCTCTTTCTATCTCTTGCTGCTGGACTTTGTTGGTAATATATAGAGATGCTGATGATTTATGTGGGTTTATTTTGTATCCTGCAACTTTGCTAAAGTGAATAATTTGAAGTAGTTTTTTAATTGGTTCCTTAGAATTTTCTCAGTATAACATCACATTATTTACAAAGAGTGATAGTTTTGTTTCCTCATTGCCTATTCTAATTCCTTCAATTTCTTTTTCTTCTCTTATTGCTATAGCTAATATTTCTACCATAATATTAAATAATAGAGGTGAAAATGGGCTTCTGTGCTTCACCCCTGATTGTACTGGGAAAGCTTGTTGATCCTCTTCATCACAGGTAATGCTTGCTGATGGTTTTAGATAAATATTACTTATCATTTTAATGTTAGCTCTATTTATTCCTGTTCTTTTTAGTGTATTTCATTGCAATGGGTGCTTGATTTTGTCAAGTCTTTTTAGGCATCTATTGAGAAAATCATATGATTTCTGTTGGTTTTATAATAGATATGGTCAATTATTCTAATAGTTTTCTAATGCTGAACCAGTGCTGCATTCTGGTATAAAATGCACCTGATCATAGTGTATGAATGATCCTTGTGATATATTACTGTAATCTCTTTGCTAGTATCTTATTTTAAAATTTATTGCATCAATATTCATTAGAGAAATTGGTTTATAATTTTCTTGCTTTTTTGGCTCTCTTCATGTTTGGGTATATTTGTATCATAAAAGGAATTTGATAGGGCTTCTTCTTCACCCACTTTCCCAAATAATACATATAGTATTGGGGTTAGTTATTCTTTAAATGTTTGGTAGAATTCACTTCTGACCTCATCTAGTTTGGGGATTTTTTCCTAGGAAATTTATTGATGTCTTGTTCAATTTCCTTTTCTAAGATTGGGTTATTTAAGTATTTTATTTCTTCTGTTAATCTGGGTAATCTATAATTTTGTAGATGTTCTTCCATTTCATTTAGATTATCAAATTTATTGGCATATAATTGGGTAAAATAGCTCCTACCAATTATCTTAATTTCATTTTCATTTTTGGTGAATTCATCACTTCCATTTTTGCTACTAATAATTTGGTTTTCTGATTTTTTAGAAATCAACGTAACCAATGGTTTATCTACTCTATTTTTTTTTATAAAACCAGCTTCAAATTTTATTTATTAATTCAATGGTTTTCTTACTTTCAATTTTATTAATTCTACTTTTGATTTTCAGGATTTCCAATTTGGTGCTTTTTTTTTTAATGTGTTCTTTTTCTAGTTTTTGTAGTTGCATACCCAATTCATTGATCTGATTTTTCTCTATTTTGTTGATGTAAGTAATTAAAGATATAAATGTTCCTCTAAGTACCACTTTGGCTGCATCCCACAAATTCTGATATGTTGTCTTGTGGCTGTTTTTTTTAAATGAAATTACTGATTCTTTCTATGACTTGTTCTTTTACCCATTTGCTTTTTATGATCAGATTATTTAATTTTTAATTAGTTTTAGTCTCTCTTTCATTTTTTTGCGTGTTTGTTTTTGGTGAAGCAATTGGGGTTAAATGACTTGCCCTGAGTCACACAGCTAGGAAGTGTTATGTGTCTAAGGCCGGATCTCAACTTAGGTCCTCCTGACTCTTAATCTCTCTTTATATTATCCATTATTGAATGTAATTTTTATTACATTAGAATGTGAAAAGGGTGCTTTACAATTTCTGCTTTTCCACATTTGGTTGGCAAGTTTTTATGTCTTAATATGTCTTTTTTTTTTGTATAAGTGCCATGTACTGCTGAGAAAGAGGTATTGCTTCCTATTCTCATTCAAGTTTCTTCAGAGATCTATCATATCTAATTTTTCCAGGATTTCATTCACCTCCTTAATTTCCTTCTTGTTTATATTTTGGTTAGATTTATCTACTTCTGAGATGGCAAAGTTGAGTTCCCCCACTAATACAATTTTCTTAT